AACGGTCAACAAATCCATCTCTTACATTTTATACCTATGGCACAATAGGACAAAGACATTTGCATATATAGTGCCTGGATATGTCCTGGAATGCCTGAGTGAGACATTACAGATTACAGTATTATTGCTATGGAACGATTCCTTCAGCAGATAGTGGTGTTGCAGAAGAAATTGCTTGTGAAACAAGACACTTCCTTAAAGTTAAGGTCCGTACTAAATGTAAATGCATGATTATGTTTTTAATACATAATTTGGCATGGTATTTTCAGATGATAATATCTGATACCCACTTTTTTATTTTACAAGCCTTCATGTCTGAAGACAGAAACATTTCCTTTCCCTGATAAACATCATTATTTGGAATGATTGTGAAGAGAACCCAATTAAAATCCTGGAGCAACACAACTTTTAAAAGAAAATCATTTAAAGGTGGTTCTCCCCAAAATCCTATCCATATCTAATCAAAAATAAGTTCGGTAGACTTTCAGTGTAACTTATTGCCAATTATGCATATACAGAATGGAAATTTATAGCCAGGACCTTAAAGTTTACTTATTTGAAATTAATCTCTGTTGCAGTCAAAATAATCTACTTCCTACTAAAACTATTCAAGACTGTGTTTTAAGTATAAATACAGCCATTTTTCTCTCCTACTGCTGACATTCAAGATATTTCTTCATCTGCTTAAAAAGACTTATGATCCAGATGACTATATATGCAATGCATGCAAGGGAATACTTCTTAATGCATGAAAATGGAAGTACATTCTACTATGTGAGGGACTCCAGTCTAGTTAATAGGAAGTAGTAAAACTGAAACCAATTTACTTGTGTTGATTTCAGTGAGAGTAAAACTGATTTACTATAACTGTATTGGTTTAACTGGGTTGCAGTTGGAGTAAATTTTTGTAATGAACTGCATGTATCAGTCTGTACATGAAAATCTGTATACATTCCTGAGAAACTCACCACATTTTCAACGTTAATACAGTTTTACTCATGAAAAGTTACAGGTACCTGTAATGTTTGGCTGTCTTTGATGGAGTAATTCAGGTGATAAAGCTGCATATTTCAGTAGAATCTTAGTTGCTGGGGGTGGAGGAAGTAAAATGAGTAGTTTTTTGCTTTACCTTAAATTCCGTCTGGGTCAAATAGTCCTGAGACTGATACATGAGAAAGCTGTAAATTCCTGCCTCCCAACACCCAACACAGAACAGGGCATTTTGGCCTGGTCTCTTTTTCTGTGTGTGCTTTCCTGTTAAAGATCTGTGTCTTCACACCAGCTAGCGAAAAACGGAGTTTCCAAATGATCCATTGCCTCAAAATATTATCTGTTCTTCCTCCTGTAGTTCTGCTGATTTGAGTTAAGGCATTAGCTTCTGAAAAAGCAAAGTGTGGAGATATTCTCCAACACCCATTGCAACTGACAACTGAGCAATTTTGTCACCGTCTGGTCCCTACACTTATTTGTATGTGATGCAATCCATAGAACATTCTACATATCAAATAAAATGTATTAGACTGATAGGTGCAATAGTGTTCTTCCCATTCTTGCTACAACAAACTAACTCTGCTCTTACGCCAGAAATTATGTGGGAGGAAACCTCCACAAACACAGTCAAGCTTCAGCTCTTATAGAATGAACTTCTTTTGAGCCAGATGCATAGACTCCATTTCACTGATATATTTGAAACCTCGATATTAGTCTGTTAACATTCTTATGTCTTCAAGAACATGATTTTCATTTTTTGTGTGTGCCATACAATTGAATTAGGACACAGTTGGTGTAGAGTTCATTGGAATACAATGGAGTAAATTCATTTATTTATGTTTGAGCCTACAGCATCCTTCAGCATGAGATGATTTACAAAATAGCAGACAGTATTTCCTACAAAACTCTGATATTTTTCTTCTTCTTCTAGTCTATTCAGAAAAAGTTCTTACTTGGTCTAGTAAGTTTGGAGTGAAACAGAATCCATTACAAAGACTTAATTGTACACATTGTTTTTGATTTTACTTGTTTTAGGAAACTGCAACATGGTTTACAACTATTAGAATATTTTAAGTTATTTATATAGTTTCTACTGATACCAAAAATTATTTTTCCTAATGTAATAATCCATTCTTGAATGCATTGGGGTTTAACATTCTGATGTGTTACACTACGAATAAGGTTCAGTAATAAAATTTTGTCCAAAAGACCTACTTTTTCACTTATCTATATAAGAAACTTGGCTGAGATATTTAGGGTTAGCACATCCATTGTTCCATTAAGATAAATGAACTATGTGGATTTTGGTTCCTGTGCAGGACATTCAACACAAAATTACATACTATTGTTATTTCCCATATTAATGGGTTTGCATAACTTTAGATTTCATAACCAACCTTTTCTAGCAGTACAATCTGATATATGTCTACTCTGAAGTAAGTTTTAATAGGTACAATAGAACTTGCTCCCAGGTAGCCAAGTAATACAAGATTATATCCCAAACCACTTTTCTAGCTGTTCAAATGTGTATAAACTGGTCAGAAGAGAAGAAATTGTTATACGTGTTATCACCATAATATATGTTAAATACCTTAAATGCTTTCAAATACTGATAGTAACTCTTTCCTCTTGTAGTGATGAATCATTTAAAGTTTCTTAATTATTCAGCAAATTGATTAACCATCTAATAGCAAAACCGTTCTTCTTCTAAACTGGCATTCACAAATCTCTTACACCTATGTACAATTCTCCTGGGATTCAGGAGTGCACTTTTAGGATTATATAGTTCCAAACAAAGGTTTTGATGCAGGCACTGTGAGTTTCATAATAAATTGGGATTTTTTTTTATTTAATGTAGTCTTCAAAGATTTAAACACACAAAATGCAGAGAAAATGTCCACAATTTTGAGACCACACTTGTAAATAGAAACATTCATATTTCATAAGATTATAAATATTTTATATTGGCAGTTGTAAAATGCATGTTTTATAAACTGAAAAAACACCTTTGCTTTCTTCATAAAAGGCAATGTCATTGAGTCCTGTCTCCGAAGCAGATGATGGTTATTCGCAGAACTTAAAATTTTAGCATCAGTTTTATATTTTGTTTCTTTATCCCTCCCCCCTCCCCAGTTAATACTAATATGTACAATGTGTGTCTGCTATCATTGTGAAATCAAGAGAGGTTTTAAGGCAAAGCGAGAAGTTCACCCTCAGTTATCAACCAGACCACTGCCCTAAATCATTGTACAGCATCCTCCCACATGGGGCTCTTGTGACTCTAGCCAATGTTTTGAACACTCTAATTTTCCTAAAAAGTAATGGGAGAAGAGATGGAGACATGGGCTAAAGTTTTAAATAAAATAGGGATGTTTAGCTTCACTGTACCTCACTTTAGGACCAGAAATTATTCCACTATCCTTATAGGACAAAGAAGGGAGGGGTGTTTAAGTGAAAACCAAAACAGGACTGCCATTGACCAATCCTTCAAAAGAATGAGCTTTATTTAAAATTTCTCATTTTTCCAGGAATGCGAGGCAAGGCTTACCTACTTTTGGCAGTGATTATTTTCCTTTTTAAATAAAAATCCAGAGTTAACCTAAAGTTTTCAAAAACGACCCTCCCTCTCCTACCATGTCTATTTGCATAACAGAAGTCAGTGTGGCTGTAAATGGTGCCCTAACTCTCTTCTTGACTCTCCCCCCCCCCTTTTCCCCTGTTCCTCTTCTCAAGGTATTTATTTCTTGAATTAGTTCGGGCTACAGGAACCCGGTCACATTTGAGAGCTTTCCCTACCCCCTTAAAAACGATCCCCCTTTTCTCCCAGCTTTTCTTACACAAACACAGAGTCCTCCACAAATGCCACAGGGACCCGTGGGAAGCTGTCCAAAGTACTGCAAAGCTAAAACCATCAGGCCAAAACTGCTTTTTGAACTCCACTTTAAAAGGCAGCAGCGAACAAGAGGCAAAGTAAAACAGTGTCTAAGTTAGCAGATCGGAATGGCGATGAGCTAACGGAAATACATTAGCAAGGCAAGCTCGGAAGCGTGTGGGGTTCTCCCCAGCTTCTCACACTGAGCAAAGGCCATCCCAACTAAAAAGTACAAAGCAAAACCTTTCCTTCTCCAGGACCCCGTCCTGGAAGATACGATATATTTTAATACGTTTTCTAGCACGCTTCTTGGGCGGGGAAAGAGCAATTACCAAATTAACACTTCATTGAAGTCTGTTAGTATTTGCCTACCAACTTTTTCTGAGTCGCTCTACGAAACGCCCCCCCCCCCATACACTTTTACTGCAGTCTAAAAGGGAAATCAGAGCAAGTACCGTACCGAAAAGCTTCTAGGCTTAATACTGTGCCGAGGCTTATTTTCCCCTAATTTCTTTATACTGTATATATATATTCTCGGAGGGTTAGTTGGTTTCTATATTCCCATTTATAATTTATATATTGTGTATATTAAAGTTATTCTTTTATACGCACCCAAAAGCCAAACACAAGAGGAAGAAAACAAAAGAAAAAGAAACGTTAAAACTCATAGAACAAATAGGAGAGCTATTTATTCAGTTCACAGTCTCGTGAAATGCAGCAATAAAAATCTTTGGACGTCAGCAAAACTTGTCTTTAATATTTTGAATTTCAAAAAACAGTGTCCAATGTCCGTTTAAAACAGTGCTTAAGTCTATAAAAAGGCAACTTAAGCTTTTAAAAAAATTGATAAAGTTAGCATCTAAAATTTCCATAGAACAAAAAAAAGAAAATCAAAAATATTTTATAATCAGATATTTTGGATCTTTTTACAACACCTTAACTGTAAATTATATATATATATATATAATATATATATACACACACACATAATATTGCAGAATTATATCTAATACACAATGTTTCCCCACTATTTATGCTGGTATAGTCTTTTATACACTGGCCCTTATTTGTGTGTTTTCTTTAATTAAATTATTGCATCGTATAAATTCCGACTAAATCCTTCCTTTCCCCCCCCCCCCCCCCCCCCCCCCCGCAATCTATTCGCTGTCTGACTTGCCGTCTTTCGAGGCGGTGGAGTGGTTGTACAGTCCTTGTGCCATGAGGTGAACCGCCAGGGAGTTCTTGTTGCCGGTGGCTTTCTTAATTTTGGCCCGTTTGTTCTGAAACCAGATTTTGATCTGAGATTCGTTGAGGCTGAGTTCTTGCGCCAGGCTCTGCCGCCTTTGCTCCGTCAAGTATCTGTTCGTCTGAAACTCGGCTTTGAGTCTTTGCAGCTGCTCGGCGGTGAAGGCGGTCCGCGGGCGCTTGTCCTCCTTGTTGGGATTCTTCTTCTTTGGCTTGCGGGACCTGGGGCCTGCGGTCGGCGGCGAGAGAAGGAGACACAGAGCGAGAGAGAGAGGTTGGAGGACAGCAAAGGGGGACACCTTGGAGGAGAGCCCAGACCCCCGCCCTGGCTTGGAAGCTTAATTCAATTAGTAGCACTGGATGAGGGAATGGGGAGCCGGGGACGAGTGGGGGGGGGAGACACCCTCGCCTTCCTTTTCTACACCCCCCCCGCTCTCTCGTTACGTGCCCGTTGGTTCTCACAACCCCACAGGGATCTAGTTCAGTGCAGGCCACCAACGCACCGCTGACTCTTTGTAGAGTCAAATTAAAAGGGGTGGGGGCTAGATAGGATATCGAGAAACAGGACTCCCTCTCCTCACTGTCCCCCAAGAGTGGGCACCGTGGGGCTGGTCTTGGGGAGTCTGCTGGCCAAATGGAATCTGTTTCCTTCTCTCCCCCCCCC